CTCCATGACACTGATCCAAGGACATGAGCCATGCTGAGCATAATTCACTTTAGGTCACTGCTGTCACCGTGGAATGAATGGCAGTCTCTGGCATACCCTGCTATTAGACTTTGTTGAATTTTTGATTAAATATTTCATTTTCTTCCAAGTATTTAAACACTGGTTGTTATACAGAGCTTGTCATTTTTCATATATGCTATTTGTGAGAGGCAGGGTATCATTAATTTTCTTTTAAATGTGTGATTTTACTTTGTTAAATTCTTTTTTTTTTTTTAAGATTTTATTTATTTATTTGATACAGAGAGAATGAGAGACAGAGAGCATGAGAGGGAGGAGGGTCAGAGGGAGAAGCAGACTCCCTGCCGAGCAGGGAGCCCGATGCGGGACTCGATCCCGGGACTCCAGGATCATGACCTGAGCCGAAGGCAGTCGCTTAACCAACTGAACCACCCAGGCGCCCTACTTTGTTAAATTCTTAAAAATTATGTACCATCAAATTCACTCTTCTTGGTGTGAGATCTTACACTCAGATTTCCTGTGTGAAGAAAGGGAGCCCTAGAATGCTGGGTCCTTGGGTCACAGACCTCTGGTCCTTTCTAAATTGCGTTTGATTATGGGTGTCATGGATTCTAGAGTGTGAAAATGTTTTAAGATATGACAGAAGGGTGTTTGATGGAACCAGTGCTAGGCAGGAAGTTAGGGAACGTTGGGTCTACCCTAGACCCCTATTAGTTGTGTGAACGTGGGAGGCCACCTCATCTTGAAGCCCCATTTCCATCTGAGGTCAGATTGGAACTAACATTCCATAAGAACCACTCAGTGCCAACAGGCTTGGAAGGCCTAACTCTCGTAAAGCACAATTCTTAAGATATTGTCTGGGGAAAGTATCTTTGTCAAATTTTCCATACCACAAAGGGATCTATGTTTGGAAAAGATGTAAATTCAGCTCTCCTCTTGCATTTTCACATTACACATAAACAAAGTAAAGGATCTGGGTATTCCTGTTTTATAGAGATAATCTTTGTTTCTGCTAAATCCAGAATTTTCTAAATTCACTACACCTGGGAATCCCCTTTGGGAATAGCATCCACTTAAACCCCTCTGTACTAGAGTTCCAAAGAACATGATTCTGAAAATGCCAATTAAAAGGCAAAGGCACTGCTAGTGTTAAGGAAGAAAAGGAGGAAGTCACATCAACTCTTGCTTCATTGTGGACATGCTGGTTTAAAAAGACACTTGCCCCTGAGAACACCGGAAGGGACCCCTTGCAATAGCTACACACACGGTCTGTCAGTAGTTGGGGAGGAGGTGGATTTGAACACAAGCTGCACCCATCTGATTCTAGGAAGAGCAGGGTAGGGCTGATCTTCTGGTGCACAGTGCTTTAAATACCACCTTTCAGGCTGAGCCTGTATAGCCCTCTATTAAATGTGACAAGGCAGACGGCTGCCCTCGGGGGGCCAGGTTCTGGAAGCCGTGCACCAGCTGCTGCTGACGACTCACATTTCCCTGCTTTCTAGTGCCCGGGAAAACCTGCATACCAGCTTGTCTCTGCTTCTGGATATGTAGAGCCCGCATCTCCTCTTTCCCTTGGTCCTGGAGTATCCTCCCTGGGAATGTGCAAATTGTGGCTGGCTTCTATCTTAGGGCTAAGAGACAGCGTGTAGGGACTGGTGAGCTTGAAGCCAGAGACCCTCCTGCTGGGGAGCAGGATATGCTAGTTCATACTTCTCTTCCTTGTCTTATGGCTCATAGTTTCTTGTCTCATGGTTGTGATACCTTTGCTCTCCATCTTAAACTATTCAGCCTTCAAGAATCACTTCAGGGACCCATCCATCTGTCTATCCCTCCATCCATCTGTCCATCCATCCATCCATCATCCATCCGCCCTTCCATCTCTGCATCCATCTGTCCATCCATCCATCCATCATCCATCCACCCTTCCATCTATGCATCCATCTATCCATCTGTCCATCCATCCATCCATCCATCCATCTGTCCATCTATCCATCCATCCATCCATCCATCCATCCATCTATCCATCCATCCATCCATCCATCCATCCATCCGTCCATCCGTCCATCCGTCCATCTATCCATCCATCCGTCCATCTATCCATCTATCCATCCATCCATCCATCCATCCATCCATCCATCCGTCCATCCGTCCATCCGTCCATCCATCCGTCCATCCGTCCATCCATCTGTCCATCCATCCATCCGTCCATCCATCCATCTGTCCAGCCAGCCAGCCAGTCAGCCAGCCAACCAGCCAGGCTGTGTCCAAGTATCAGAGATGCAGAGTGAAAATGGATGAAATCTTTACCCCCATGAAGCTAATGGTCTTGTAAGGACAGCTGCAGGGCACCATTGCAGTTGGCAGTAGTATCCACATCAGCGTGTATGCAGAAGTCCCCCATGAGTGTGTCTGACACTGTCAGTGGGGAAGCACCACAGCTCTGATGTCCGTGAGCAAGTCACCTTTTAGACAAACAATGTGAATATATAGTGTGTGGGATGTACGGTAGTTGGTACTATGAAACAGAGTGGGCAGAGGTATGGGGTTTGCTGGTAGGGCAGAGGCGTCCAGTGTTCCAGACAGGGCAGCCATTGGGGAGGGGGGCTCTCAGGTAAGAGAAATTGAACAGACACCTGAAGCAAGTGAGAGCGTGAATGTTGCCTGGGTAGTGGGATTCCAGATTACATCGGGTCTCACCGACTTGGCTTTCACTCTAAAGGAAATACAGGGCTGATGCATGACGCCACTAGAGGGTCCTGAGTGGCAGGCTGCATGCCCCGTTTCTGCTCAGCAAACCTTCCCTGATTCTTGAGTGTGGGTTGACCCTTCTTCTCTGGACTTGTACAGTATTCTGTCTTCCTCTCATGACTGATGCCATGGGACCACTGGGACCGCTCTGAGGTGCATTCCGTACAGTTCCTCAGAGGGTTCTGCTGGGATCAAGCCCCAGTTAACCCACGTTCACCAGATCGGTGGGCACTCTGTATGGGATCTGTGTGCCTGTCTGCCTCTCCCTACTTCCTCACTCCAGTTTGTGCAGTCACCTCCCAAAGACACTATCTGCCTCTCATCCTTGTCTCAGGCTCTGCTTTCAGGGAAACCCACGGAAGACCCTCTCTTGGAAGTGTCTACCCTGAATTGTTACTGTTTACTCTCTCTTTCCCTACGCAGTGGCTCGAGCTTAAGGACAGAGGCTGTGTTTTTATTCATCACTACATCTCCAGCTAGGAGATGGTACAAGTATAAATAAGCACAGGGCAAAACAATTCTCAGCCGCCAAGAAATGCAAATTAACGAATATTAATGACAACCAAGGGTGCTTGCTGATTTTATGCACAGCAAATCAGGGCAGTCCTTTTGGGAAGCTATCTGGTCATATTTATCAAGGGCCATAAACAAGGTTTATACTGTTGGGCTGAGTTGTTACGCTTCTGGGAATTGACCCTAAGCATTCAAGCTGAGCGAAAAGCTTTGTGTGCAGAAATGGTCATTGCAGCAATACGTACCATTGTGAAAAATCGAAAATAAGTGTCCAACAGTAGGGGGGTCATTAAACAGTTTATTGTGTATCCGTAAGATGGAATATTTTGTAGTCACTTGCGGTGATGAAGAACATGTAGTAACTTGGGGACACTTTTATGATACAATGCACAAAGGACACAGTTGTGTTCTTTTTGGGTCCTAGAATTTGCTGTGTTTTTTGTGGCCTCTGGGCCTTGGCTACCAGTTCTCTCTGTCCAGACACTGAAGGTTCACCCTCCTTGGCCTTCATCCCCACTGCTTGTTTGGAACAACTCATCTTGACTTACTTTTTTAGGTGTGAGCTGGCCTTGCCTGGCCCCTGGTAAGTCTAGCAGCTCCTTCACTTTGCTCCCCTGGCGGGCACCCTTCCCTTCTCTTGTAACCCTGTAAACCCATGGCTTATTAAGCCTCTGCCTCTCCTTCCATCTGCTCCAGGAAGGGCAGAGGCTTCCTCCTGGCTCCGCAGGGCCTGTCCCTGTGCTGGGAGCTGAGGTGGGGAGCCAGCACATAACGGGGGCATGGATGAGTGGATGGATGCGCGCACTGTGATCACAACCATGGGGAATCAAGGAAAATGGTGGAGAGAAACCTCAGACGTTTGACTGGAGGTGGTTCTGGGGGAGTTGTGTTTATTTTATAGTCTCTCTAGTAGCTTTTAAAAGGTCTCTAAATTGGGTTTTATTGTATTCAGTAATAATGCCCTAATAAACTCCTGTTCTATGAATGACCTAGTTTCTTCAACAAATGAAGGGCATCAGAGGGGCGGGAGGGCTGGTATAGATCTCGGCAGACTGCAGAGAGCCAGATGCAGAGTGGGGACTGAGGACGGAGCCCCACTCGAACCTCCCACTGTAAAACCAAGTAAAATTGAGCATGGGCTGTTAACTCATAGGAAGGAATTACTGTTAATTGGGTCCGCTGAGATGATGGGTTGTGGTTCTGTTTATTTAAAAACTCCTTAGGGCACCTGGGTGGCTCAGTTGGTTAAGCGACTGCCTTCGGCTCGGGTCATGATCCTGGAGTCCCGGGATCGAGTCCCGCATCGGGCTCCCTGCTCAGTGGGGGTCTGCTTCTCCCTCTGACCCTCTTCCCTCTCGTGCTCTCTGTCTCTCATTCTCTCTCTCTCAAATAAATAAATAAAATCTTTAAAAAAAAAAAATAAAAACTCCTTAATGTTTGGAGACATATCCTGAAGTATTTCCAGGTGGCGGGATACGATATTTGGGATTTATTTTACAATATCTCAGCAAAAACAAAACAGAAGTGTTGGGGGAGGGGTTGGAATAGGTGGAGTGTGAATGGCCAAGTATTGAAGCTTTTGAGTCTGGGTGATGGATGTGAGGGGGCTTTTTTATCCCATTTCTTTACTTTTGAAAATATTTGGATAATTTTATATTAAAAGTTAAAAAAAATTCTTGGCTTTTCCCCAGTGACACTTAATACTTTGCTTGGCTTTTCAGAGTGACCGACTCCTCATCAAAGGTGGACGGATCATCAACGATGACCAATCCTTCTATGCTGACGTCTACCTGGAAGATGGACTTATAAAGTAGGTTGACCAAAACACACTTTTTCCCTTTTTTTGAAAGATTTTATTTTTTAAGTAATCTCTACACCCAGTGTGGGGCTCAAACTTAAAACCTTGAGATCAAGAGTTGCATGCTCCCCTGACTGAGCCTGCGAGGCATCCCCAAAACATACCTTTTAAGAAGCCAGTCTTGGGGTGCTGGGATGGCTTGGTCGCTTGAGCGTCTAACTCTTGATTTTGGCTCAGGTCACAATCTCAGGGTCGTGAGATCGAGCCCCGCATTGGGCTCCCTGCTCAGTGGGGAGTCTGCTTGTTTCTGTCTCCTTCTGGTTGCTCTCTCTGTCTCTCTCTCTCAAATAAATAAATAAATCTTAAAAAAAAAAAAAAAAGAAGCCAGTCTCCCTAGGCTGCCAGGCCCTTAGAGTTCTGTCCCAGAATGACTGTGCTGTCAATATCAGGGATGCAGAGATTTAGAGAGGTCCAAACTACAGGTGGGGAAGGGACTAGAGATTCTGGAGCGTTCCTGCCGCACCAGCCTTGTGCAGGCCATCAGAGGCACAGGGGGGTGTGACGTGCACACGGCCGGCCAGTGAGGTCCAAGAGCTGACCCCCATTGTCAGCTGGGGGCAAGGGGCAGATGCCTACCTAGTACGAAGGACTGAATTCACGGCTCTTTCTTCTACCTTTCCACAATTTCTGGATTGGGTGGGGGGAGCAAGGAGAGAAAGGAAGAATGTTAGGACAGGGCCATGGCCTGCATTGGGCCAGAGGGTTCCTGCACTTTCCGTCTCCCTATTGGCCTCCTCTCTGGCTGTGACATCCGGGTGCATTCCATCTGCTCAGTCACTGTGATAAAAAAAACCCAGGCTGGGCAGCTGAAACAATAGAAGTTAACTTCTCCGAGACTGGAGGCTGTAAGTCCTGGGTCAGGGTGCTGGCAGGGATCTTCTGCGATCTCTCTCTCCTTGGCTTGTGGACTGCGGCTTCTCACTCTGCACTCACAAGGGCATCCCTCTGTGCGCATGTGCACAGGACACCAGTCCTACTGGCTCAGGGCCCCACCCTAATGGCCTCGTTTTGATTTAGTCACTTCTTTAAAAGCCCCATCTCCAAATACAGTCACATTCTGAGATGCTGGGGGTCAGGGCTTCAACATATAAGTTTGGGGGATCCCAGCTCAGTCCACAACACCAGACAGTGGGTTGATGTGGCCTCCACATTTTACTGGCTAGTAATGGAGAGGTTCAGCTCTCTTTCTTTCACATGCTGAGTGCCCTGGATTCGCTGGCTGCTCAGCGAGTTCCCCTGGAGTCGGGAAGAGTAGGAGCAAGAGACTGTCTCAGTACCCAGCCTGGGCTGCTGGCACAGGAAGGAAAGGCAGAGGGGAGTGAGAGCGAGGAGAAGGTCAAGCAGGAATGGGGTCTATTAACAGGACTAACTGGTGCCCATGTGGGCTTTGATGAGGAGGAGGGGGAGGGAGGGGAGGAGGGGGGGGAAGGCTGAGGGAAGGAAGGAGGAGGGAGGAAGGGAGGAGGGGGATGAGAGGGGGCTGTGGATGGCTGTGAGCACTGAGAGACCACACCCACGGCATGTCCAGTGAGGAGCTCAGGAGAGCGTGGAGGCCTTCTCTGCCTCCCTCTACCTACCCCAAATCCAGTCCCAGACTCCGACCATTTCAAGTCCAGCCCAAGCCTCTGTTCCTCCAGTGGATTCCCTCCTCTTCGCTTCTTCCCAGCCACGCTGAAAGCGTAGTACCCGCAGAACTAGCCCAGCAGCTCTACTTGGAACCTTGCACCCATAAATCCTCTGCCTGGAACACCTTGCCCCACCCCGCATTCTCATTTCTCTGCCCCCCTCCCCCCCTGGCTCCCCAACGCCTGTTTGTCCTGTGGGTCCAGCTTGTGTGGCTCCTCCAGGAAGCCTTCCCTGACCCCCATGACTCTGTTGGCCAGCCTGTGTGCCCGGCCCCACACTCCTCATGCTGCATTTGCCCCAGACTAGGGACCTTGCCTTAGGGCCTCTGCACCCGGGGCCTGGCACAGTGCCGGATACGAGAGGTATTGGGAGTATTGACAGGAAGTGTAGCAGAAGAGTCCTGACCTGTCAGGTGGCAGGACCTTGGTCTTGGAATCAGAGGGAGAGAGGCAGAGGTGGTCGGGGTGGTGAGGTTTCTAGTCAACTCCCTGCTTAGGTACGGAGACAACCACTCTGGGGTGAACTCTGGTTTGTGGGGCCTCGGGGTTCTGGGACGTGGGAGGTAAAGGATGCTGACGCTTTTGCAGGACCACCTACCCACCGGTCATGTGGGATTGAGGTTGGCTCCCCAAGAGCCGTGCAGTCCAGGATGTGTATACATGAAACAAGAGCTCACTGGCCAAGCTGCATTTATTAAGTGCTTGCTGTATGAGTGAACACCCGGAGTCTTAGGGACTTCGGTGGATCGTGTTGTTCAGGAAATATGCAGTGTCCACAAATTCATTATTTCTCAGCTCCTCTTAGTCAGAAACCCCTTTTTATTTGACTCTGTTGCTCCTCCCCCTCAGCAGAGCGAGTCTCCGGATGGTCATTTGGAGCACGAACCCCTGCTGGCTGGGGAGGAGGTGTGGGAGGGCTGAGACCCAGAGGGGCCACTGTACTGACCCCAGGAGGCTCAGTTATGCTCCTTCACTTTGATTGAACCTCAAGAATTCTCTTTCGTGGTCATTTGCCAAGTTTTCCTAAAAGCTTGTCAGCTGAGTTTGTGCTGCATCTGTTAGGATTCACTGAGGGTTCCATCCAGTTTGCAAGTGCTGGTGACTCAGACACTGGCCACTGAGCACTTGTGCGTAGGGCGGGGGAGGTGTTGGGGTGCAGGGATGAGGTGTCTGGCTAACTCACAGAGAGAGCCTCCTGTTCTACACACACTGCCATTGAGAACCATCTGGGTTCTTCCTCTTAGTGCACTGGCGGTTCCGTCTGGGTCAGTCCCAGTTTGGGGAGAATCTGCTCCTTCTATGTAAGGGAAGCAGGAAGGCAGGTAAGGCTGGTGGGCAGAGCCTAGATATTATATTAGACTTGGGGGGGGACCTGGCTTGAGTCCAGACCCACCACTGACTTGCTGTGCAGCCTTGAGCAAGGCACCGTACCTCTCTGAATTCCATTTTCCTCTTTTGCACAATGTGTTTACTTCCCGTAAAGAGAGGTGACTGTCATGCCTTGAAAATGGGCCCCGAACAGCAGTACTTGTTGGCATGGTGACTGAGGCACACTCCCAGTCAGACTCCAGATACCCACATGTGGGGCTGTGCCGAGTGTATGGCCCATGCCCACTCTGGGTCACGCCCAAGCCTTTGCCAGCATTAAACACTTGAACATTATCCCGTCTTCTTGGAAAGCCAGTTGAAGCATGAAATGAGATGATCTGCAAAGTGCTTAGAAAAGCCGGTGCTCAGGGGTGACCTGCTCCTGCTGGAAGGTTTGGGGGCGTCTCCTCCTGGATCCCTTGCTCTTCTGCTCCTGACGTATCTCCATGTGTTTAGTAGGGGGATCGGGCAAGGCAGGATGTCTGCAAATCAAGATGGAGATGACAGAGGGAAGGACACTGGCATTAGAAGCAGCAGTGCTGAGCTTGTGGGCGTGGTCTCGGTCGTGGTCCCCGGCACCATGCTCTTGCTAGACTTATTTCCGGTTTCAGGACAGTGCGCGATGCCCTGATTCTGTGGGAGAGCCCCAAGTGGAGCCCTCTGTTCCCCCTTCCCCCACAGCTTGCCTGGACCAGCCCTGCCCAGGGGTCCGGAGGATCCAGGAGCGTCTGCTTCGGCTGCTCGGGTGTAGATTCTGTTTGGGGCCTGACATGGTGGTCCCTGAAGCAGCACTTGCCTGTATCTTCATTATGGTTGTTTTTCTGTGACTTAGAATATTGTTGCCTCATCTGAAGCGTTCAGAGCAACTGTATTTTTTTTTTTTTAATAAAAATTGCTCATGTTCAGGTCTACTGGTCTTTGCCCGGCGTTGACCTTGGAGGCTGCCGTCTCTGTCCTGGTTCTGGCTGAGCCTCCCCTCCGCCCCCCATGTGTCTCCCGACTCTGGTTCCAACAGATGAAACACAGCCGCCACCACATGGGACAAAGGCTTCCAATTTCTTAGGCTCTGCTCCCTTCTTCCTCCCTTTGGAATTTTTCCTCCTTCTGGCGGAAGTTCGCAGGTGCCTAGCACATTGGGGAACAGAAGGGAGGGTCAGCATGTTCAGAAAAAGTCTGCTCTCCCCAGTGTGATTCCCTCCAGGCAGGAGTTATGATGTTAGTGGCTTTTTCTTGTGGGTACTGGGCGGTTAAGCAGCTTTCCTGAGGTCGGTGCTCAGGAGAGCTAAAACAAGAATGCCGGGCGCCTGTCTGTCTTAGCTTGCCCTGGCTGGTGTAAGAACGTACCGCACGCACTGGGCAGTTGAAACAACAGACGTTGATTCTCTCATGGGTCTGGAGGCTGGAAGTCTGAGATCAGGATGTTGGCAGGGTTGGTTTCTTTGAGGCCTCTCTCCTTGGCATGTGGCTGGTGGTCTTCTCCTCGTGTCCTCACCTGGTTAACTCTGTACAGGTCTGTGTCCTGATCTCTTCTTACAAAGACACCAGTCCTATTGGATTAGGGCCCCCCCTGACAGCCTGACTTTACTGTAATTGTCTCTGTAAAGGCCCAGGCCTCAAATACAGTCACATTCTGAGGTCCCTGGGGTTAGAGCATCAACATACAGCTTTTGAGAGGGTCCCACTTCAGCCTGTAGCACTACCTCTCACAGTCTGCAGAGCTAAGGGGACTTTACGCTCTGTCTCCTGCAATCTGGATCCTCGAAGTGGTTGACAAAAGTGTGCGAAGAACTCTGGAGTGACAGGCTATTCTGAGACCCCTTTGCCACCACCTCCCCCTGGAAGCCTCCCCAGATTCCCGGGCTAGTGAAGCAGCCCACCTTATACTCCCCACCCCTCTGCTGTACTGCATTGTTACCCATCTGCCTGCGTGCCTCTCCTCCTCATTAGGCTGTGAGCCCCTCGGGGGCAAGAGTCCTGCCTGAGCATTCTCTGTCTACTCAGTGCCCTGCCTAGGACATGGCTCAGAAATGTTTACCTAATGGAACTGAAGCCACACAGTGGGCTGCCATCTTGTTTTTCTTTTAAGAACCAAAGGCCATTTCTGTTTGTTTCCAGACAAATAGGAGAGAACTTAATAGTTCCTGGTGGAGTGAAGACCATCGAGGCCAATGGGCGGATGGTGATTCCCGGAGGTATCGATGTCAACACGTACCTGCAGAAGCCGTCCCAGGGGATGACCGCTGCCGATGACTTCTTCCAAGGGACCAGGGCCGCACTGGCAGGCGGGACCACGATGATCAGTGAGTTGTACCCCTGCCTTGGGCACATGGGCAGTGACTTCAGTTCATTTACCAGCAGCAGCAGCACCACCACGGTCTCAATCTACACCAGGCACTTTGCTCAGGGGACCAGTTAGTGTAATCCTCACCACAACCTACCACAAGGTTGTACCACTGGTGGTACGAAGAGGATTTTATAGGCAATACAGACATTTGAAAGTTTAAATTATTTTGATGCATTTGAAGATAAATAACTAGCACATCATGGGTATTATTGCATAGGGTGAGATTGAAATTAACATTTAAATTTTTAGAAACTGTGAGCTGATTTAAAGGAAGGTATTAAGGAAAGAATAATATGGATTGTAGGGAGATAAAGCAAAATATTCCTGAACCTGGTGTGCACATGGCTGAAGTTTTGGAACCAGGGATATAGATGTTATGGTGAAAGATGGGGAAGTAGAGGCTGAAACAAGTTGCTGAAGGTGACACAGTGGGGAAGTGGTTGTATTAGTCAGTGTTGATGCCGTAATGCTGGGATAACGCTGCATAACGAACAGTCCCTAAACTTCAAGCATCACTTGTTTTTCTTGATCAAGGATCTGAGGGACTAGGAGCAGGATGGGGTGAGTCTGCTTCAGGATGTGGGTTGGGTTCGGACGGGCACTGTGGAGCTCCCACCCTGGAACCAATGACCAGCTCAACCATGCCCTTCTAGCAGATGGCAGAAGTGCAAGAAGGGTCTGGTAGAAACTTGCCACCCCTCTTAACACCTCATGTCTTACCTTACACGCTGAAGTTCTCTTGGCCAAAGCAGGTTGCGTGGCTGAGCCCAAAGTCCCTGGGATTGCACTCTGCCCGCCATGAACCATGGTGAAGGTGGGGAGGGGAGGAGGCAATGTGCACAAACAGTGCCCTCTACCACAGAGGCTTCCTGAGATGCTGGATTCTTCTTCTACCACATTTTGCAGTCTCTTGTAGTTTTTGAAGTAGCTTTTCTTTCTTGGATTCCATTTTATTTTATTTTTAATTGTTTTAAAGATTTTATTTATTTATTTGACAGAGAGAGCAGGAGCAGGGGGGAAGGGCGGAAGGAGAGGGAGAGGGAGAAGCGGGCTCCCCACTGAGCAGGGAGCCCAACACAGGGCTCGATCCCAGGACCCTGAGATCATGATCTGAGCTAAAGTCAAACACTTAACCGACTGAGCCACCCAGGCGCCCCTCTTGGATTCCATTTTAATAAATGATTTTAATTAAATAAGCAACAGTTGGTTTTTCAGTGTTCTTTCAACTGTTAGGCTCTCTGCGTCCAGGCAGCTCATCCCTAAGCTGCCCATCTGTCTCCCTCCTAGGAACCCCTTTGGAAGTACACTGGGTAGAGCTGGCCACTGTGTGTGGAGCTCATGCGTCAGAGCCACCTCATCCCCCTGAGCCAGGAGGGGATGGCCCAGATCATGAGGGAAGCACGGTCCTGGTCCCTTCTCCACAAGGCAGCCTTTTATCTGCTGGTTGGGAAAGTGGGAGGAGCCCAGATGTTGGACCTGGATGGATTTGGACTTGGACCTCAGCTGTCCGGGTTTGATCCTGATCACTGCCACTCAGCAGCTGTATGCTTGTGGGCAGTATTTAGCCTCTCTGTGCCTCAGCCTCCTCATCTGTAGGGTGGGCTTTATAATCTGAGCCTTCCCCCACCATAGCATTGCTGGAAGACATACACGAGGTGCCTGGGTGTAGTGCATGGCACATGGCAAGTACTTGGAGATAGGAGCTGGCACAGCGCTGAGAGATGGAGATGGAAGTTGCAGGCTCAGGTGACCTGTGTGGAGTAGAAGACAGAACCCCGGATGAGGATTCAGGATCTCCAGGGTCCCCTTGTGCTCTTTCCCCATCATCATCTTTGAGACTCTTAGGGGAGGGGCCTCATCCACCCCATCTGGAAAAGGGTGGTTTTCATAGTGTGTTTCATGGGACCCCAAGAACCTGTGGAAGCACCAGGAGGACCATCATGAGGGGTTTGGAGGTTCTGAGTCTCCATCCCATGTTGTCATCCAACAGATACTTAATTGAGGGTTGCTCTGTGCCAGGCACTGTGCTAGGTGTTGGGGGACGGAGGGACCAAAGCGGACATGGTGCTGGTGCTCCAGTGGTTGCAGTCTTGTGGGGAGTTACGGATCATGTACGACTACACACACGTCTATACTCTGTGACTAGGGCTACAACAGAAATGTGTGCACAGAGCTTTGAACTGACGGGCCAAGTGCTTCCCTGAAGACGCAGCATTCATGCAGGGATCTGAAGGATGAGTATGAATTCACTGGGTGAAGAGGGTGGAGGGGAACAGAGCTCTAGGAAAAGGGAAGAGCATGTGCGAAGTGTCTGTGATGGAACACAGCTTGCGTTTAAGAGACTGATGAAGGCCCATGAGGCATGAGTGCAGAGACTTAGGGATGGGGTTGTGTGAGATAAGACTGGAAGGTAAGGATGGTACTGATGGTCCTTGATGGCTGAGGTAAGAATTTTGGACTTTTTCAAATGGGCAATGAGCAGGCATTGAAGGATTTTAAGCAAGGAATGATGGGATCTGCTTTGGGTTTTAAAGAGACCAGAATAGATTAGCCTAGATCAGATGTGGCTGTACCAGGGGCAAGTGATTGTAGCAGCTCAGCTACAGAAGAGGGTAGCTAGGACGAGGAGTGTGGCCATGGAGGTGGACAGAGGTGGACAGCTCTGGGGATATGTAGGATGGAAATATAAGTACTTGGTGGTGGGTCAGCCATGAGGTATCTGTGAGAAAGGAAGTGTCAAGAATGACCCCTTCGATCCTAGCTGTGGAACTAAGGTGGTATCCTCACAGTTGAGGAGGTGGTAGGGACCAGATTTGCAAAGGGGGGGGGGAGATGTTGCATGAGGTTTGGGACATTTTAATCTTGAAGAGCTTTTTTGAGTCTTCCTGGTGGAGAGGTCAGGGAAACAGCTGAAGTCAGAGTTCTGCAGCTAAGAGGGAGTGGTACATTTTAATGAGCAGCTGTATTAAAGAATATTCCAGGACCAAGGCATAAGGAATTTGACCATTTAATGGCCAAGTAGAGACAGAAGAGTCTACAAGGAGACTGAGGAAAAATGGCCACAGAAGTAGAATAAAAGCCAGAAAGCCATGTCGTCATGGGAGCCAAGAGGAGGGAGTGATTCACTGTGTCCCAGGAGGTCCAGTGGAGTCAGGACTGGACGTTTCCATTAAATCTAGAGACGTGGAGATTGAGTTAGCAGAGGCTGTTGCTTTAGACGGGTGGAGGAGTGAGCTGGAGGAAAATAAGGACTACTTTTTATAGATGTCTGGCTGTGAAGGGTGGTTGTTAGGGAAACAGGGCAGTAGCTAGAGGGATATGCAAAGTCAAGTGACGTTTAAAATCAGGTGTCTCCCCTTTCATTTGCTTTACATTTAAGATCTTATTTTAGAAAGGAGTGATGAAGTTAACATGCTTTTAGTCTATAAGGTCTTGTGTACCTTTCCAGCTCTGGCAGCATGGAGTAGTGGGAAAGGGTTCAGACTGCAGCTGATGGGACTCTGGACCTTCTTCCTACCACTTACCTAGTTGTGTAAGTAAGTTGTAAGACAAGTTCCTTACCCTTTTTGAGCCTCAGTTTCTTCTTCTGCCAATGGAGATATTAATATTCACTTCACAGGTTGGTTGTGAGGATTTAATGAGATAATTGATGGAAAGCCTTGTGGCAGTGTCTGAGGCATCGTAAGTATTCAATAAATAGTTGTGATGCTGCTGCTGCTGCTGAAGATGACATTGACAATGGTGGTGATTATGTCATTGCTGATGGTTATGGTAATGATGGTGACAGTGATGGCAATATTGACAATGATGATGGTGGTGGGAGTGATGATGAAGAGGGCGGTGATGGTGATAATAGTGATAATAGTGATGGTGATGATGATGATGGTGATGGTGATGATGATGGTGGTGATGATGGTGATGATGGTGATGATGATGGTGATGATGGTGGTGATGCTGGTGGTGATGGTGATAATGATGGTGATGATGATGATGGTGATGGTGATAATGATGGTGATGATGATGGTGGTGATGATGGTGATGATGGTGATGATGATGGTGATGATGGTGGTGATGCTGGTGGTGATGGTGATGATGATGGTGATGATTATGATGATAATGATAGTAATGATGATGGTGATGGTGATAATAGTGATGCTTATGATGATGGTGGTGGTGGTGATGATGGTGCTGATGATGATGATGGTGATGATGATGTTGGGGATGCTGTTGATGGTGATGGTGTTGATGATGGGGTGATAGTGAAGATGTGTATGGTGATGATGATGTGGTGAAGAGGCTATTGGAGGCTACCATTGGAGTAGCTTGTAGCTTGGGTCCTATGCATTTTGGAATGTGATGCATATTTTTCTTTCACAGTTGACCATGTCGTCCCTGAACCTGGGTCTAGCCTGCTGACATCCTTCGAGAAATGGCATGAAGCAGCTGACAACAAATCCTGCTGCGACTATTCCCTCCATGTGGACATCACAAGCTGGTACGATGGTGTTCGGGAGGAGTTGGAGGTGCTGGTGCAGGACAAAGGTCAGTTAAAGCCTCAGAATGGGGGTATAGTTCTGGAATCCCTGGTTCTTTGGTGGGCCTCAGTATGTGGAGTTAAAAATCCCTTTATCTGCATTTGCTGTGAGCCCAGCTATGAGCTACACACTGCCGCATAAACAATGGAAAAACGAGATCCTCTTTGAGGAGTCTGTCCTCTTCTCCTTCAAGCCCTTTGGAGGTATCCCCCCGTTCACAGAAGAAAGCCTGATTTCCTTAGCCTGGCATGCAAGGCCCTCGCTGATCTAGGCTCATTTCTCTTTCTCTACCGAAACACATCTGGGGTCCTTGTTATCCTGGATGCCATCCCCTGAAACCTGCTTTACCGCTGGGCCTGTGCTCAGGCTCTACCCCCTGCTAGGAATGCCCTTTCCTCTACTCGGCTACCCAAGCTCAACTCGCACTTTCTCCAGTTTCCCCAACCAGAATTGCTCGTTCCTTGAATATCCATATCAGGTTACTCTGGGAGCAGCTTCTCCATTGTTCTTGGATTATGGGACACTGGTTCTCTGTCTGGCTCTTGTGTTAAACCCTGAGCTCTATGGTGTGTGTGGGGGGGAGATTGTGTCTATCCATATCTGTATCCCATCCCAGCTCCCTTCTGTTTGGACTCACATCAGGTGTCCCTGCACAGTGTAGACACTACAGTGTGCATTGTGTTGAAGTGAATTGAACTGAAGATACACGATGCAGAGACCAAGAGAACACAATGAACCAGGACAGGAGTGGTCAGTCTGGAGAGGGGCAGTTCTGGATGCTCTCGGAAGAGGCAGCCTCAAATGAAGGAAATGCTTCAAAGAGAGCTCGAGAGTGTTTTCAATTTTTAAGATATGTATGCTGTGTTTTCTCATTATAAAAGTATACTCGCCATATTACCAAAAAGTCAGAAAATCAAGAGAAGGAAAAAGGGCTTGAAGGAGAAGAGAATGGACTCCTCAAAGAGGATCTCGTTTTTCCATTGTTTATGTGGCAGTGTGTAGCTCATAGCTGGGCTCACAGCAAATGCAAACCCCCAATCACCACTTACAATAATGTTAAGGATTATTGCTTTCCATTCTCTGTCAGCTTAGATGATTTTCTCCTTATATAGTTATATGATAGCAGTTATTTGGAATTCTTCTATTTTCACTTAACGTTTTATGAGTAATCATTACTTTTCATTAATAACTTTTTTCATGGCTTGTAATGTAGAATGTAATGGTTAACTTGCTTATTTTCTTTTTATTGGGCACTTAGGTTTTCTGTTTGCTCTACTGTAAGTAGTGTTATGGTGAACATCTTCGTATATAAACATTTGTTTGCATTTCTAATTGTCCCCTTAGATTTCCAGAGATGGAATTACAAGGTCAAGGTTTTAACATTTTTCAAGCTCATGACACTTACAGCCAAATTGCTTTCCTGAAAGATGCACATACTTGCATGCCCACGATCCCCATGTCTCTGGCTCCTTGCATGCTTGTGCCATTGGGTGGTATTTCTTCTACAAAATCCTTGCAAATCTGATGAGTCAAATTCAGTCTACCACTATCCACTGCAGTTCTTTTATCTTTAATTATGGTAAACATTTTGCTTACCTTTATGTGAATGTCCGGTTATATTTTTTGCCCACTCATGAGTTTGTATGCCTGAGTTCTCCATATGAAGAAGGCACTGTCCCTCCATTGTAGTTGCTGTGAATCACACTCTTGTTTTGTACAGAATCATAATCCAGTCACAATCCAATCATAATCTGTAATTTACAATTATGTATCTCGCTTTTCTCACCTAATGTTAAATCCTGAGCAATTTCCCGCTTACCCCATGGGCTTCATCATGTCATCTTTAGCAGCCTGTGTATGGGGATGTGGAGAAGGGTCAGGTAGAGCACCAGCATCACAAAACTGTCACAAGAGAGTGCAACAGCTCTGTTGGGGAGGGGCACTTTGTGGGGTCATATTTGTTGCATTGTCTTAGAAGAGGACAGAGATCTTCCCTTGACCAGACACTTGCAAGGAAATGACTTGGGGAAGTTTTTAGGTGCGTTCATGGTTTTAAGTGTCTGACTAGTATTATATAAGGTTTTTTATTGATTTAAGTTTCAGAATTAGTGCGTGTTTATTGAGAAACAATATGGAAGTGTCTGAAGTAAAAAGTGATAATTGGGTGTTTGTCTTTCCAGGCGTCTTTCCTGTCTGTGTAAGTGTGTCACATTCACACACACATAATTCTTACATGAGCAGAACTGTAATGTGCATCATCTTGCACCATGCTTTTTTTCACTCAATAAAATGTCATGGACCACCAGGCCCCTCCACTTAGCAACTGTGTGACCCTGCGCCAATCCATCAACCTCTCTATGTCTCAGTTTCCCCATCTGGAAAATAGAGGTCACAAAAAGGTTGTTTTGAAGATCAAATGAGAAGGTATATATAAAGTGCTTAGAACACCACTGGCCCCTGGTAAGGATTCTGTATTTTTAGTTATTACTTTTATCCTCATTCTGTCATTTCTCATAAGACCTCCAGAGTGTTCAGTTTTATGGAGGTACTGGGTTGATCTCCTTCCTGTTGGAAAATTTTTAAAAATTGTGTTGTCAGGGTTCACAGGGAGCAAACTCTGAGGTAGAGACCCGTGTGCAGGAAATGAGTGTGGATTAGTTTGCTATTGCTCCTATAACAAGCCCCCCCAACTTGTGGTTTAAAACAATCCCAATGGCAGTTCTGGAGATGGGAAGTCTGAAGTGGGCCTTAGGGCTGAGGTCAAGGTGCTGGGGGCCCCGGGGAGAGCCCTTCCTTGCCTTTTCCGGCCCCAACAGGCTGCCCGTGTGCCTTGGCCTGTGGCCCTGATCCTTCCAGCCACCGCCGCCCCCCACATTGACTCTGACTTCTCCCCTGCTTCTTTCCTTAAAAAGGACCCTGGTGATCACACTAGGCCCTCTCCGGTAATACAGGATGATCTTTTATCTCAGACTCCTTAATTTATTTTATTTTATTTTTTTAAAGATTTTATTTATTTATTTGACAGAAAGAGAGACAGCGAGAGAGGGAACATAAGCAGGGGGAGTGGGAGAGGGAGAAGCAGGCTTCCTGCCGAGCAGGGAGCCCGATGCAGGGCTTGATCCCAGGACCCTGGGACCATGACCTGAGCCAAAGGCAGACGCTTAACCGACTGAGCCACCCAGGCGCCCCATCAGGCTCCTTAATTTAATCCTATCTGCAGATTCCCTTTGTTGTGGGGGGAAACGTATTCATAGGTTCTGAGGATTAGGGCGAGGACATGTTTGGGGGGGGGTCGTTATTTTGCCCTCCCACAGCGTGATCACAGTATCAACCCCTGTGAGCAAAGCCAGGGAACAAGATTGGCCGCAGGGAGCTCTGAGACCTGGACACCTTGCCTTTGGATCCTGGGGAAGCCAAGGGGGTGGGGACTTCATAGCTCCCCGCCAGGCAGGCATTGGGTGTGGCCCCTCTGGGATGGGGCATGACCTTGAGCTAGGCTGCTCTGTGCATGGAGGGTGATTCACACAGGACTGACAGCGTGGTGCACCTGAGACATGCAGGGAGGTCCTAAACCAGTGTCCGACGGTGGAGGTTCATCTTTGTGGGTGGGCTCAAGCAACCACACCTCCTAGAAGCCTTCTCTGCTTGCTCCGCCCTCCAGGCTGGTGTCCCCTCGGAGCTCCCACGGCCCCAGAGGGGGCTTCTCCAGCAGGGCTGTGGGCCTCGGGGCTCTCCTGCCCTCATCTGCCCTCTGGACTGAGACTGCTCGGGAAGAGGTGGGGTTTTCTCCTCTATTCCTGGCACACAGTGGCCTCCCCTGCAGTTGTGTCTTTGGGAGCAGGAGGCACTCGGAGTAGATCACGGGTTCTCCTCCTGGGCCAAGGAGCTCTTAGTAAGCTGCCAGAGCTGAACCCCAATTTGCAGAGGGATGTGTTTGCAAAGCTCAGGTGTTCTGATGCAAAGCAGGGTCGGGATCACAGGCTCAGGGCCTGCCCTGCGTGCACCCCCGTGTCACGGCTTTAGGAAAGACCCAAAGGAACATCAACCTCCTGTGACTCCCAGGCCCGAGGTTGGGTCACAGGCTCCATCTCACATCCCCTGAAGGAGACCCCAGGACCTGAACCCTCTGCTCTAGGATGGGTGGGCCAGCAGAGTGCCCTCCTCTGGGGCCCAGAGGGCTAGAGCCGACAACCTGTAGGGGTCGCTAGGACCAAAGGGTCTGGAGGGGAAGCAAAATAAGAAATTCGAGGATCCTCAGTAGAGGCTGGCCCCTGTCCCAGAACAGTTGTTCTTGCCTTTTCCTTCCTGTTGGCCAGTCCCATGTCTGAGGTTGGGTGGATGGGTTATAAAGGATATTGTTATCAGGGCTCCTAAGTGCCTGGATTCTTTCTTATCCCCAAGGTGAGCAGCACTGTCATGAGCCTTGGCTGAAGCCCCTTCCCCTCTGTGCACCCGTAGCCCCATCAAAACACAGGTGGGATCATTTACAAGCCCCACCCAGCCCCCGACCTGGTCTTTCTCCTTCCCAAGGTGCTCCGTGAATGGTGGTGACCTTGGGGCTCCAGTCTAGGCTCACCTTCCTGAGAGGCCCTTCAGCTTCCGTAGTGTCCTCACCATCCATCTGCCTGTGACCCCAGCCCCAACTCATGTAGGATATGGCTCCCAGGATGCCCCCAGGGGGCTCAGACTTACCAGGTTCTCCCAAACCCATTACCTTTTCCTGTGAACTCTGCTATCTGTCACTCTGGGTCCCCATCTCCATGAGGGGCATCCCTGTCCAGCCATTCCCTCTCTCTCCCTCCCCCATCCATCACTGGATCCATGGCTTTGCATCTGCAGTAGCTCAGCTCTGACTCTGGGTCTCCACCCAAGTCCCTTCCCTGATGTAGGGCCCTCTGTGTCTTGTCCAGATTCCTGCTCGGCCTTATCACTGGTCTCTGCCCCCAGTCTTACCCCACCAGAGCATTCTTGCTCCAGCCGTAGATGTGGGATTTAAAGAAGCAATTA